GAAACTATAGGGGAGTTTACTAGAAAGAGGCATATTCCTAGCCATTTCTTCCAATGTTCTATTTTTTCTTTCAACTACTCCATTTTGTTGTAGAGTCCTAAGAGCAGAAAAATTATGATTTATGTCATGCTTATCACAAAATGCAGCAAATTTAACATTCTCAAATTTAGTACCATGATTAGACCTAATTGTTGCAAGTTGATTACCTAGTTGTTTCTGAGCTTTTCTAACAAAAGAAGTGAACATGTCAAATGCTTCATCTTTAGATGTTAGAAATAGTGTCAAAGTAAACCTAGAATAATCATCAACAAGCACCATAACATATCTCTTACCACCTCTGCTCAATATTCTCATTGGTCCATAAAGATCCATATGGACCAGTTCCATCGTCCTGGTGGTGCTTACCATTTTCTTGTTTATAAAAGATGATCTTACCTGCTTCCCCCTTGCACAAGCCTCACAAACTTTATCTTCCTTAAACTTAATGTTAGGCAGCCCTATCACCAAGCCCTTGGAGATTAGTTTGTTGAGTTGACTTAGACTGGCATGTCCAAGTCCTTTGTGCCAAAGAAGGGGATCATTATCCAACATACTTAAGCAAGTGAGTTCATTATCTGAAAGTATGGACATATCCACAACATATAGGTTGTTCACTCTTTTTCCCTGCAAAACTATCTTGTGAGTGGTAAGATTAATCACAAAGCATTTTGTAAAGGTGAATGCTACCATATTACCTCTATCACACAATTGTGATACATGCATTAGACCGTACTTCAGTCCATCTATCAAGTAGACATTCTCAATAGAGTGAGAATAGTCTTACCTACTTTTCCAATCCTAGTGATCTCACATTTCTTCCCATTTTCAAAAGAGACATTACCTCTTTTAAGGTCCTCAAGTGAAAGGAACTGGTTCTTGCTTCTTATCATATGCTTTGAACAGCCACTATCCATGTACTATATTTGGCTGCTCCCCATTCACTTGGACCTGCAAAAGGAAATCGGGGGTTAGTCTTAAGAATCTAAACTAGTTTGGGTCCCTTTTTATAAGCAAAAATATGAATCAAATTCTTTTTAGCCCAACTTCTTTGTTCTTTTGACTTGCCTTATCTTTTGCAGTGCATTTACTTTTATAATGACCTGTTTTACCACAGTGTGTGCAAATCTTGTTCTTAGAAAGTGTGAGGTACTTGCTTTTGGGATCCCACTTAGGTGCCAGGTTCCCAAAGCCAAGTCCTCTTCTGTTGCTACTATGGTGTTCTTGTAGCCATGAAAGTGCATCAGAGGACCTGTTCTATTTACAAGTTCTATCTAGCTCATGCTTGACCTTGCTTAGATCCTCATTTAGGATTTTTACCTGCCCATCTCTTTTGTACAACTCACCTTTTATTTTTCCTATATTTTCTTCCAAAGTGAGTTGTGTGTGATCAACTATCTTTTTACTTGTTCCTAATTTTACTTTTAGATTTTCAGATCTAAGCTCTAGGACAGTTGAGTAAAGTGCATGAACCTGGTTCTTCAACACAGTATTCACTTACAGTTTTACTAACCCTAAGTTCTAGGTTTTTGCACTTAGCCTTCAAAATCACACATTCTTTAAACATTTGTTCCTTTTCGTTGTTTACATTTCAAATTCGTCAATTAGTTCTAGTAGTAACTCAAATAACCTTTCTTTAGACAATAATTTAATTTTGTCTTTGAGATGAATTACACTTACCTCAGTTTCTTCATCAGATTCTCCAATGGCCATGAGTGCTTGTTCATCCTCACCCTCATCATCTGAGCTTTCTATCTAAGCAACGACCATAGCCTTGGTTAAACCTTTGTTGTTACTTTTCTTGGGTTGAACATGTTCCTTCTTCCTGTTCCTTCGTTCAGCTCTTTCCTTCTTCCATTCAATTTCACACAAAAGGACAGTTCTTGATGTGGTGATCAGTCTTTTCACACTTGTAGCAGCCATCATTAGTTTACTTATCAGGAACTTTTGACTTGCTATAGCTTCCACTTCTTGAAGAACCTTTTCTTCTCCTCATGTACTTCTTGAAGTCCTTGGTGATCATAGCCATTTCATCATCTTCCAGATCAGAATCTTCAGTGATTTTGAGTGCCAAGCTCATTTCCTTCTTAGGCACATCCATCTTCATGGTTTGTCTCCTAAGTTCATAAGCAGTGAGATTTCCAATTAATTCATCCAGTGGGAGAGTGGCAATAATCTTTGATTCCTGGATGGCAGTGATTTGCTCTCCCAAGTGATAGGCAAAACCCTAGTCAGTATCTTCTCGACTCTATCTTCTTCATGAATAATCCTTCCAAGAGATTTTAGCTCATTTGTCAGTGTAGTGAACCTTGTGTACATTTTTTGAATGGTTTCTCCTTCCTTCATAGCAAAGTTCTCATACTGAGAGTACAATAGAGTTCTTCTGGATCTCTTCACCTGCAGTGTTCCTTCGTGAGCCACTTGCAGTGTGTCCCATGTTTGCTTAGCAGTGGTACAACTTTGGATTCTGTTATACTCATCTGGACCAAGTCCACAAACAAGCCATTTCTTGGCTTTAGTATTCTTCTCCCACTTCTTCAAGTCCTCAGCAGTGCAGTCCGTTCTTGTCTTTGGAACATTTACTCCTTCAGTATTTTTCTTCAAGGTAGCCAGTAGACCATCAGTGACAATATCCCACAGCTCATAGTCATCTCCTATAATGTGATCTTTCATCCTGTTTTTCCACCAAGGGTAGTACTGGCCATTAAAGAGTTGTGGCCTAGCAGTGGATTACCCTTCCCAGTTTCCAGGTAGTGCACTCATTTTGATCTTCTCCTAAGATATTAGCCTCTTCAAGGATAACATGATACGATATTTTATACTTCAATACCATACAAGAGGAGAGGTGATTTGTGTGGTGTCCAATTTTGGCATGTACTGATTATAGAAGGACCTGATTCTTCTATGTGTTTCTTATACTACTGTTGCAAAAATAGTAAATGCAAAAAGTAAATAACACAAGTATTTTTACGTAGAAAATACCCGATTCAAAAGGTGAAAAAACCACGACCTATTACCCAGTAGGATTTTTCCCAACACTTCACTAAATCACTGAGCCAAAACAACATTTACAAAACTCTTTGTAAACCTAAAGATTATCTTTAATCCCGTTGTGGCAACCAACCTCTAATTGTTGCTATAACATCAAGTTAAATCTAACTTGAATACAACACTTAGAGTACCTAGTAGTTAGAAGTTGAAGATAACTAGAACCCTTCCACCAAGGAAGAGTATAGTATCGGAACTCTAGTTATTTTTTTATTCTACTAACTCTATATATTGTAGGATGTTCCTATTTTACAGGGACGTACAAAAGCAGATGTTAAACATGAGTTGGGAGCAAACTAGCAAGGCATTTTGCAAACAACTCTTGTGTGATTCAAGTGTGCGAACCTGAAGCTACATGAACCAGATAGAAGAACCAGTTCCAAGTGTCTGTCTTTTATTCTAGTTTCATTGTAGTAGGTGTTTCAAGTTGTACCTTTCAGCTTTATCTAGAAGCAATTATCCCTTATCTAGGATAGAGTTCTCTCGAGTAAGGAGTTCTTCTCTTTATCACTTATGCAATATTTTCGTTCAGTAGATATCAGATATAACTACTTAAGCTTATCTCCTTCACATGCATGCCTTGTGCTTAAATCTGCCCGTGTCTTTATACACTGTGTATGGACCTGGTTCATGCTTGAGTTCCATTATCAATCATCAAAACAAACTTCACTTGGGCCAACATCCTTCCATTAGGATCATTCACCTTAATGGATCTAGGTAGTTTTTTCATAACATCCATCTCAACCAACACTCTAGCATAGGAAATCCGATCTAGTTGAGTAGTGCAAGCATCAACATATAGAGGAATTCTCAAGCCACTACTAATCCTGCTCAGTGATTTATTTCCCCAATATTTTAGAGGAAGATTAGGGTACTTGACCCACATTGGAATGGTCTGTAAAACTTCTTTGTTAAAATTAAAATCAGCAAACCACACTTTCATAATAATAGGTTTATTGTTCAACATGTGAGGTCCTGAGTACATCACTTCATCTCTGTCATCATTGGAGTTGAATCTTACCACAAAATATCCATCATTGTGAAAATACACTTTAGGCTTTATTGCGAAGTTCCAAGCTGAAGCAATGAATCGTTCAATGGCTCATATAGTTGGAGTTCCTCCGACAACATATAAAATTAGAGCTCGTTTCCACTTCTTAAGTTTCCTCCTCGACTTCTTCCTTACAGAGTTCAACAATTACATTACCATTTTTTAGAGTTGGAGCAATAAAGATTAGATACATTCCCTTTGTTGCAAGTCAGTTTCCCATGAATAGATTTGCCCATTGTTTTTGACCTCTCTCGACATCAGCAGTTGGCAAATTCCCTTGAGGTTTAGTCGCCGCCCCGGTATCCCCAATTACACCCAATTCTCTGGTAATCGCTATCGAATTCCTTTCAATTGTCTCAATTTTACTAGGGCTAGTGTTTGCATGTTTCGTCGGAGCTCCAGAAACTAATTTTTCACTACTAATTACCTTATGAGGAGTTTTCATACTTCCTTTGTGGCTGACAATGGCGGCCACTGTTCCATTGGTGTTTTCCCTGCTTCTTTGATCGTAGTACTCTGCGTTCCTCGACTTTGAGTGGTGCTGCTCATTCCTGTGTAATCAACCAGCTGGGTCGTGGTTGCATTTCTCTTCGGCCTATCCCTCCCCATTGCTAGCGAGCGTACGTTAGCACATGCACTCTATCGTGCGCTGAGCGCGAAGAGAGATAGCTTTTGAAGAAGTTGCATTTTTGAAGTGATAAAAACTTCATATTTGATTCTAAAATTGCAATTTGAAGTGATAAGAACTTCCGATAAAATAATTAAAACTTCAGATCTGATTCTGAACTCTAAATTTGTAACTTCAGATGCAAATTCTGAAGTGTATTCCAAAGTGGGTAAATTTGCAAAAAAGAATATGTTCGGCTACAGCGTAAACAGTATCCCAAAATTGGGTATTTATGTACTTCCTCAATAATCTTTACTTAGTTGTACCCGTCTATACTAAATATAGTTGCAGGACACTCAGAGTCAAAACTAAAAACTGGTATTGTTAAACAAAGAAAAATAACAATCAGAGGGATAAGTGGCAACTCAAAGTGTATGTTTACGGCCTATAAGGCAAGTACTTAGGAGATCTCACTCCAATGCAATAATTTCCTGATATGCTAATTGCATGGTCAGATCTCAAGTACTCACCCCCCTACGTATAGGCCGCTCTTCTATGTCTGAACATATTAAAGTAACAAGCTAATATAAAACTTTTGTATGTTTTAGAACTCTACTTTCTCTTAGGTTTCACTTAATGAATAAGTAGGCAGAGAAAGAGAAAGCATTGTGTTCATTTCTGACTGATGATCCATCCTCTTGCTATGATGAGTATTCTTCTCATTCTCGCTTTCTGTGCTTCTGCTTAATCTTAGTTGCAAATCAGGTAGCCAACCTTTTCCCGTGAAACTCTTGTCTTCTTTCATCTGCAAAGTAAAATTACCAATATAATGAAGTAGTGCAACAACAAGGAAAAAAAGAAAGATGAAATCCCAGTTATAATATATATATGGGTATTATAACTCATCGAGAGTTACCGTCTTAACATATTTAATTTTCAATTAATGTAAAACGGATCTAAGTTTGGTCGCTTGTTAAAGCTCCTAGTAAAATAAGTTCTCGAGAATTGCACAAGATCATATAAGGAGTTCAATTGCACCATCACCAGCTGCAGTGGGATAATCCACATATATATGACTACAATCAATTCATATCCAAAGAACAAAGACGCATGCAGGAAATGTAAAAGAGAGACGTAAAGATGAAGTTGAAAAGTAAAAGCAACAGTGGGTAGAGGAGGTATTTATATGTGCTTGTATATATTTACCTCAAGCCTGCTTGGTGTCTCAAAATTTTGCTCAAGGTTATTGTATTTGCAATTCCATTTGGAATATGGTTGCGCTACATTTTGTTGTAGCAAATATTGGGAGTTTTTAGCTGAACAAATATTGGAAAAATCAGAATTTTTCTCCTCCCACTGATTGGCGATGAATACACTCGGAGGCCACCTTTTCTCTTCACGAAATTGGCTTGACCTGATGGAGCCAATTTCATGGCCTCCATTTTTTTGAAATTGTCTTGGTGTGGATAGCTTTTCTCGAGTGGTGTTATTAAGTAAGCCCCCCTGATTGGAAGACCACTGCAAGTACCTGTACATTAAATCATTGAGTTTAACTTTTATATAATGATAATATTGGGTTTTTTTATTAATATATCTGGTCCTTATTAAAAGATAATTATACGTAATATTCAATAAAAAGTGGAATTAGTAAACTAGCAATGCAGACAATTACTTGTAAAAATTTATTTATACTGTCAGTTTATATATATGTTAAATAAAAAATTATTAAGAATAGTTAAGCAAGTCAAGTAGAAGATTATCATTGACTAGTTGAAATTGTACCTGGAAAAGATGTCCTTGGTCTGATCATATGGGGGTCTCGAAAAGGAATTTCGAAAATGGCCTTTAACATGGTCATGATCATAGTTAAAGTTCCTAGCTAACACAATGGCACCATTCTTCATCTTGAAATCTTGTAGAGGGTTATATCTTTGCCCTACATTTCTGTAGAAATAGCTTCTTCCTTGCATTGCTCTATTACGACCTAACACTATACCAAAATGAAGCACCATCAAGATTAATCATAGTTAGTATATATTGCACATGAGGAAAATGGGTTAAGAGCATTTTGTCCGCCTAAAGTTACATGTCAATTGTAGATAAGGACAATTAACTGGTAACTTAAGGAGGATAAATGATCTTAACATGTATACTTGGTTGGAAGGAAAGAAGTTTCAAATTTGATGATATAAGTACGTACCTTGTCCAGATTCATCAAGTTTCTTGCTTCGATACATCTGGATCAAATAAGTAACGAGTTAACTCATTTTTAAGAACAAAAAATTAACAAACATACTTGATGAATATAAGTATTTCAACTCACAATACCTGCAAATGACTTTTTACATGGGCAATACTTAGACCTCTCACGTTCATCAACTGGAGCACCAACTTTGGTGTGGCTCCTGCCAACCCAGAGTTGACCTTAAGCAGTAAACAAATATTTCCAGAAACTAGGGCGAGAATCTTATTTTACATAAATAACACATGTGGCAACAATAACTTTTTTTATAACAATATACATAAACTAAGAAACAAAAAAGTGGCAACAATAACTTTTCTTATAACAATGTACATAAAGCTTGACATCTCTAGGGGGGGAAGATACACATTGGTTAAAATTTTAGACATACTTGCGACAATATCGGGATTAATTATATAGCTAGTTAATAAAGGAAGGCATCTAATTCAATAATGTCTTGCCTCTTAAAAGCCTTTCATAAAATAAGGATGTAACTTACATACACTAGTACTATAAATAATTTTTATATTATTGTATTTTAATATGTTGTAGAAGATGACTTTTTTATTAATGAATTATGTGATCTTGTTGTGCAAAAAACTTAAGTAGTTAAAGAGAACACTCATTTTTTTATTTAATTATGTATTAATCATTTATATTCAAGATTATAAATCTCATTATTCAGTTATTATTGCATGTAATTATTGTATAGTGTAAAATATAGCGTAAAAATATTTTTACATTGTTAGTATTAGTATGTAGACGTTAAACTCAATAAAATACATGTTGAGTAAATGTGAATAGAACTGCATCTTCAAGCAATAGGTAGTGACTTACTTTCTTGACCACCCAGCGTTTCAATGGCATGCACAAAGGAGCGATGGAGTTCAGGAGTCCAACGTAGCCTTGGCATTTTTGATCGAACATAATGCCTAACGTTTTTCTTTTCAACACGTCCGGATCCATCACCGCAGCTATTGTTATAATTTTCTGAGTTCCCTTCATCTGTTGTTTTCTCACTACTGTTTTCCACACTAACCTCAATGGCTGCTTCTTCTTCTTCTTCTTCACTTTCCCTTTTGTTGTCTTCGTTCAGATCAATGAATGAGACCATTTTGCTTTGGGAGGAAGAATCTGAAGATGTTTCCATAATGTATTCCATAGTATTTCTCATCATCTCTTCATTGGCTTGTTTCACTGAGTTTTCAGTCATGGCTACGTCCAAGTTACTGAACAAGTTAGGCAAAGAGGTCTTCAGTGCAAGAAACAAGCCTGGATTGTGTATGAATAAATAAGTCAATAAAATTAGACTTGAAGAGAATAGAATTAAAGAGATTATTCATGGTAAAATAGATAATTGAATTGCATGCAGAATCCCGTGAACCAGTGAGTCTCTCAACTTGTGTGTCCAAAGACATTAGTCTGAGGGCACAAAACGCGTAAAAAAAATAGAACCAGTAGCTACCTTGTAAAGCTTTTTCTTGATCTTGTCCTAACCCTCTAATGGTGACTTATGTAAAAGATGCCACAGTAGTTCTACATATTACAACTTTGGAATCAACATATATATANGATCGAAATAACAAGGCATCATGCGCAAGTTAACAAGCTGAATGACAATAAATCAAAATACAAAAAAAAATATACTAAAAGACGTATTTCATTTTAATATAATTTGATTGACTAATACGTATTAAAAATTACTTATTGAGATAATAAATTCTAGCTCCTCCTAAACAAGATTTTCATAAAGACTAGATTAAGGACGTTATTGTTATGTTGTATATATGAGGGAAAAATACTCCAATTTATAAAAGTGCAAATACTTTTCTTCCCAGAAAATGATTTGTCAAATATGAAAGAGTAATTTTAATCGGAAAATCAGGATAAACCCTAACACATATTCAGTTTTACCATGTACTCAGTTACCAGTCTGTTGTACTGCCTGCAGTATTAACATTGTATTCTCCTGCCATTAATGGTACCAAAAAACATTTCTGACAGTTTGAGCTGGAAGTTTGCAGAAGCCAGATGGGAGAAACTAATATTTTAATCGGCACAAGTCTGTTGGAATTTAATGGTAATTCCTAGTGCATGGTTTATCATTTTCCTACTCCAGCATAAATGTAAGTAGATATATGACTTAAAGAAATGTTAATAGTCAAATAAAGACTGTTGAAGCTGGCAGGTACAAGACGGGGGTAACAAAAATTGCCGAATTTTTCTTGATTTAAAATCCTGCAACATTTATTCCTGTTTTATATCCTCTACTAGTATGAAACTTTACTGTGTAATGTGTACTTCATTTTTCTTTACAACGCAAAGAAAAATGGAAAAAGAAAAGTTTGATTAAGTACGGAGAGAAGTATAACCATATATAATACTCCATAAAATAAAATTTCGTTATTGGAAATTCTCTAAAACTAATAGATTTAATAATGGATACTGAAAATTTTGGAAGACCCTAACGACATCTTTATTATAAGACCATATATCTCTTGCATCAAGTAGTCTGAAAATAAAAAGAAATATTCCTGGGAAAATGGCCTTAACATCCTACTTAGTCCAAGATAACAAGTAAAGAAATATTTCTTCAAAAGAAAGAAGAAGGGAGAAGGGGAAAGAAGAAAAACCAAACTATTTGTTCCTAGCTGGAACATGATCAATAAAAAGAAGAAAAAAAAGTAGAGGATTCAAGAAGGCTGATATAGACCTTGTGGATAAATCACTTGAAAAGAAAAGAAGCTAAGGCTGACAAAATTCGAAGCTGTCCATTTTGTTCTTGATTTTCTGTCTATAAGGACAAGGAAAGTAAGAAGTTTTATTTTTCCTTCTACTTAATTAGTGGCTCTTTAGGATATAAATTAAGGCCTGATTATTGGATCATCTAAATTCATGTATAACCAAACAAAAGGTTTTAAAACTGAAAGCATATAAAGAAATTAAAAAGGAGAACGCGCGATGAGCACATAAATCATAATGATAAAGAGTTCCTATTTTTCCATACTTTATACAGGTGGGAGGGAGAAGTTTGTGGTTGTTTTTCTAAATACAAACCATGAACTGTAACTCCTGTGTGCTGCTTCTTTCAAGAATTTGTATCAGAAGTATCAGCTGCTTTGCTTAGTCCAGACCTTCTATAGACGATCACTTGCTGCAGATGAATCAAACACACATAATTTGGCTTGAATATTTACAACAATAATAGTTACGTCTCAATTCCAAGCAAATAGATCGAGTCCACTATATGAATCATTACTCTCTATGGCCGCACAAATTCAGATTGAAAATATATGAGAAGAAAAAATAACTTCCTTTTGGTTGAGGGTGGGGGAGTGAGAGAGGAAAGGGTAAAGGAGAAGGTGGTGCTGTTTTTCCTTTGGGCGTTGGGAGGTTTTTATTTGATTCAACGATGGAATTTATTTTCAATGCCAACGTTGATATAACTTTTCTATGGAGTTTTATTTTTGAACTTAGATTAAAGGATACATTTATTTTAACAAGAAAATTACAAACTGAACGGTATATGGTCAGACTGTCCACTTGATGCTCATTATAATGTAATAATTCTAGCATTATTGAGGATGCAGGTGAGACTGGTCCTCCTTTTGGTTGAATTTTAGTATCATGTGATTTTCCCGAAATGTAATTTTAAAATTAGTAAAACCAATTTTCCATTTCTTTTTTGACAGTTGTCCCATCCCATCTCCACCCTTCTTTACCTCATTCTTCCTTTCTCATGTGATTATCTTATACTTTGACCTATGTTGAGGACTTTCCCATTGTATGTATAATAAATAAATCTTCTTCTTTTTTTTTAATGATAATAAAAGCCAAAGGAGTCGGCCGTAGCCAAAAGTCTTATTCATATGGCCATTGTCCAAAAATTATAATGGGTATTTTTTGGACATAATGGGTGTCTCTTGTGTGTGTTTATCATCCTCTTGAGAACTCTAAGAATTCAGGCTTACTACATTAAAACCTTTATAATCTGGCTGAGTTTACTCATGATTTAGATATATGGGGCTCTTTTTGTTACTCTTTGATAAATTAAACCAAGTTTAGAAGGATTATTCCGTATTAAGCCAAAGAATTAAGATAAGAACTCTTTCTTAAACAATTACTATAGTTTATGAACTTTTGAACTATTTTCATACATAATCCAGATAATGAAACTAGGTGGATGAGGTGGTAAATCACCGTAATGGCTCCACGAAACTTAGAAACGTGCATAATAACATATGGGACATACGAGTTCGCCCTTCACGAACTAGCTGCCTAGGTAGGGTTGGTTTCTTGGTCAAAAGATCTCAACGTGTAATTTCTAGCCGTGACTGATACGTGATTGGAGCACATGGGTCACAATATTATACTGCTCTTTTTTCACTTTATGTGATACTTACTACGGAGTATTATTAATGGAAATCAAACAAAGAAGTTTTATCACGTTTTTGTAAATATTTTGAATTGTATATTATTGTGATTTTAGTACTTCTTATGTAATTTCTAAATATAAAAAAAAAAATCTGAATTTTCAAAATTCTAGTTTGTATTCATATTGAAAAAAATTAGTTAGTTTAACTCTCATACTTTGAAAATGTTCACATAAATTAAAATTTAGACATAATTTTGTGTATTAAGCACAACACAATGTCAAAGACATTATTAAAGAAGTATCTAAAATAATTATTTTTTACTAATTTAACTTTTTAAAATGAAGGTCACAAAATTAAGAGTAGAGTAGAATGCATGTCCTCTGACTAACAATTTGTCTTCTTAAATGACATGATCGTACAAATCAATACTAGTCGCAATCTGCAAATTTCTCCAATGTAGTTTCTAGGCTTCATGAGTGGCTAGTACCTTAGTCTGCACTTTATCTTAATAGGCTTGTTTTAGGGTTATTTCTACGGGTAGGGTGTAACCCGGTCATTATCCACATACAGAACTCACACAGTGTGGGTCATATTTAACCTCCCGTAAAAATTTATACGCACCAACAGTTTACCTAAATAACACTAATGTATCATGGTTAAAGCATGAATTAAAGTGAACATGTGAATTAATTCAATATGTTTTAGTGCTTAAAGTATATATAAAAACATATATCAATATATTCATTGAGTTTGTATAAATATCGAGTGAAAGTTTCTTCCCCCTCCCCAGTAATGATTACATAGCTAAGTATTAAATGTTGATAAAAATTATTGATCTCCATCCATGGCGTGGTATTTGTCACACTCTAGAATATATAGGCTTGCATTCTCCTATTTTGAATATGTGCAGATTTCTCAACCGAAATTATCAATTTTGAAATCCATCCAGTTTAGAATTAGTTAAAACTTTTAAGTACTATATAATATATAGATAGTTATTCCGTCATAGACTTGTGCGCGAGAAATTATTTTTCATAGATAGAGGTCCCATGGAAGGCAAGGAATCTTTCATAGTAGTATAATTTATTATCATGGAAAATTAATCTTCCACCAAAACAATGACTAAGTTTTCATATGTAAAATAAAGGCCCTACCAATTACCATCCGGTTTCCATATTTCTTATACTTGTTCTCGCCAAGTCTTTCATTAATCTAGATCCTAGATATGATGAAGAATTATATATATCCCTAGCCTTTTAAGATAATTTATTTGCTGTTTAAATATAGCTAACATTGAAGATTGAATTTAAGTGTTACATGATAGGGTACAAGTGGTGGGTGAAATACAACAATTAGTCAATTTTTGGCGGGACCGTTGCAATCAAAGAAGTTGTAAAAACCTTGACTTTGGCATCCACTAACGTATATGCCGACTGCATCATTAGATCACTAGGATAATACAAGGTTAATTGAACAAAATCAAGTTGACCTAAATAATTTAGAAAATTATCATTCAAATGGACCCAATTATAAGGGAGCCGCCAATTAATGCTTGTCTAAAATTACGATATCAAGATTATGGGTGTTCAAACCGAACCGAAAAACAATACTAAACCGATTAAAAAATCTGACTAGATTTGGTTTGATATAGATTGGTATTGAGTAAAAAAGCTCGAAATATTTTTATATATAATTTTTTTTTAAAATGTCTAGAAATATTTGAGATACTCTCATAGAATATAATATTTAATAGAACTAAGAAATTACTCATCGATTTTTATTTACTTTAAATAATGGGTTGTATCATCATTTTCTTATCAAGTGTTATTTAAATACGTCATTCTCTTTGTTCTTTCACATTCATAAGTCAAGATTTGTTAAATTTTTATATCTTTTTCGAATTTGAAATGACATCTTGATAATTTTAATATTAAATAAAATATATTATTATTTAGGTTTCATAATAGTTTTTATATTTAATTATTAATGCGGTTAACCTTGAAAGCATACATCAACGAAAGATTATTGTTAAACGACTAAGAAAATAACTATCATGTATTACTTAAAAAAATTCTCCCATAAGATATCTTAATAGATCATATGTTTGTCAGTTTTTTCAGTTTTTACTAAACATATATTTAATTATCAAAACTTTATCTATAACTTTAACAAAGTAAAACTGAAATAATGTTCATGTAATAAGAAAATCTGAAAACCCGAACAAACCGACAAAACCGAACCAATTCAAATTGATATAGTTGGTTTGATTTGATTTTGATAAAAATCGAACAAACCCAGGTAATCAAGATGTAGAGAAGTTCTTTGAAGTTTTACTGTGACATAAACATGATCTTCTCATTCTCTAAAGTTCGATTCTCTTTTATGTAGTTTGTTTATGTAATGCTCACTTTTGTTCTTTTTCTTTCCTTTTTTGATTTTCTGGCAATTTGTTTTGTGTTCTTACGGAGTAAATAAGACAGTCATGGTTTTCATGAGTTTACACTCCCTAATTAAATCGATTTAATTTGCAATGGGAAATCGCGATTAAACTGACAAAACAACAGTCAAATTTTGATGTATTCAGCGACCTGCCACTAATTAATAACGCATCATGTATTCGAGAACGACTTAAAATATTGGGGAATAAATTCTAAAAGAGCTAGGTAAAATCCAGTTGTCTCCTACTTAATAAATTCTCAAAACCAAACAAATAATATTGATTTAATACTAGAATAAAAAAAGCCTCAGAAGAGACCCCTTCCACTATCAAAAATTTCTCAGCGTTTACTTTCAATTCAAAGCGAATGCTAATAGTCTTAATTTTTTTTTAATCCCCAATGGATTGACAATGGTCAGTGTCCTCATATATCCCCATTGTTTTAACTTTCATTTTTTTAATTGGAAACCCTACATTAGTTAAAATATACTTGAAATTTTGTCTTCACGTATGCATGGGGAGTTAGCTTCTCACAACTTCCCACTACTAATTTTACCCACTACAGGTTAATTATCATTTGTTAATCATACTCTATTCCTAAAAAGGATAAGCGGTCACTGCAAATATAATGCGATCTAAGAGTCCGGAGTCAAATTCCACAGAGAACTAAGGTTTAACTACAACTGTTCACTATTACCAAGAATACAAGCTTGAACAATTCCTACGTTATAAATATTAAGATTCTTATTACTAACTAATTAACTAATAAATTAAAATAGTAAATTAACAACTAAAGATACTTAGGGTTTGAGACAAGAATAAGGAGGTCTAGAGTTATGATTTCCCCGATTACCGAATCCTTCCCGCTACGTCTCCTATAATTTCGCCTAATTATTCTCTACTAATCATGAGCACTTCAGGTGTCGTAATTCTCTCCCGAGCAACTACAATAATTTACTAGATATATTCTCCCGAACTACGCTAGCTGACACAATCTTACCGCTCACTATGACCACGTCAAGGCTTTGTTATTCCTAAACTCACCTTTAAACTTGCCGTATTAATTCCTCATATACGTTAGGAGTGACATTGTTCAACAACTACCTAAATATTTACCTTTTCCCAAGCAATATATAATTAATAGGCTCAGTCAATTGATGGTCATTCAATCAATAGAAATAAGCACGTAGTTGAACAAGTAAAGAAATTCAAAGGCTAAATTGTATTCAAACTTAACAAGAATTCATCCTCCAAAAGGTTTCATCAAAATCCTAAATAATAAATTAGCTACTCATAGTAGTATATGAAAATACAACACCAAAATTCATAACCAACAATAGAAAATAGGAAGAAGAAAGGAAAAACTCGTGGTTGAATCCCACTCCTTGCTCTTAGTGTATTCTTGCCTCCAAAGGTGTTGTGTAACCCTAAAGTAGTGTCTCCTCCTCCAAAGTTCTGTAAAAATCATGTTTGTGTATTTATATGACCTAGGTAATGTGGAGGGTCGTCCAATACAATCCAATCTCGGATAGGAGAGCTGAAATCTGCGTCTACCTTCGCGCATCGCGCACCTATGGACGTGGACTCAACTTTTGCAATTTTCCAGTTCGCGAAGTGATTTGTGACTTCACTTCACTTCGTTGTTTTGTGCCTTCAGTATTCTCCTTTTTCG